AATATTAATTTTTTTGTTGCAAGTATTTTTCCTACTTTGGATATACCTTTTAATTTTATGGTATATTTTTGTCATGTAAAACTTTCTGTTGTGTAATTGAATATATCAAACTTTTCCTACCCAGTTGAGGTCTTAGAAACTTTTAACCAATGTTGTTTGAATCATTTTATAAATAATATTTTAATTCCCTTTATAAAAAGTATATGATTTATCTACTAGCATTTTCCTGCTCTTTTGGTGATCTCACCTGGGATCACTCATGTGGCCCAGATGGTAACTATAATGAACTGAGAGATCCTGAAATACTTGCTCCCATATTTGGGTCCTTGGTGCTCTGTTGACTGCTCTCTGAGATTACCTCAGTTCTCTAGGTTGCCTTTCTCCAGCAGGACAGACTGGATTTAGCACATGTGATTTGTGTCTAAGAAAAGAAACTACTAGCTCTCCTAAAAATTTGTTTCAGACTGTTTCATTGGCACAGAAGTATTTCAGTATCTCTCTCTTTTTAGCACTATTGGGGATTGCACCCAGGGGTACTCTACCACTGAATTATAGCCCTAGCCCTTTTATTTTTAAATTTTGAGTCATGGTCTCACTAAGTTGCCCAGGCTGACTTCAAACTTGTGATCTTCCTGCTTCAGCTTCTTGAGTAACTGGGATTATGTTCCCAGCCTAGTATATTTTACTGGGCAAAGAAGTCACAAGATGGGCAAAGAAGTCACTAGATGCAAGAGAAGGAAAAATAGAACCCATCTTTTGATAAGAACAGTGACTAAATTTGGCAGCATTCTTTAATCATCATGATGGAATAATGCTGTATTTTTTTAATATTTGTTGCCTGTTTTCCAAATCCATTGTTTTATTATCCCCTTACAAGTTGTATCTTTTTCCTTTTTCCTACATTCCCACTGAATTTTTGTAATTTATTGTCTTCTTCACTGATTATTTTATGACCTTTTGAAACAAACTGTTTCTGTAGATGTTTTGGTTCTGCTGTTGTGTTTTTACTTTGCTTATATGCTTTGATTATCTTTTCTAATTTGCTTTTCTTTTCATGTAACCTACATTTTAGTCACTTAGTAAGCTCTCTTGGTTATTAGACTAATTGTTGCAGTATTGTAGTGCTTGAATTCAGGTAACCCTTATTTTACTACTAATGGCCCCAAACCCAAGGGTAGTGATGCTAGCAATTTTATTATAGTATGTTATTATACTTATTTTATTATTAGTTTTTGTTACTAGTCTTTATTGTGCCTAATTATAAATCAAACTTTGTCATAGACATGTGAAACATGTATACATGAGTTAGGTAAGTTTTAAAAGATCACATATATATATATATATGTTCTTGTTTCCTATACTTATGTATATATATATGTATGTATATATATGTGTGTGTGTATGTGTGTGTG